TGGCTGGGACTAAAGAAAAAGATCAGTATCTTTCCTTTTCTGCATTGAGTTTATTTTCACAAAAAGAACTCTTTTTCACTTCTCTCTTGACTGGTGAGACTTTTTGAAGATGTAGGCTTTAGGCGACGTTATCCCTGTCTCCTGGAAATACACCTTCTCTGCCTCTACAGCCATGAAAACTTTGAGGTCCACACTGATACATACACATTTTCTCTCTTCATCCTCAATAGTGTCTTCCAGAGCACACAGAATTCCTACTTGCTTACCACTCATGGCAACATTCACTCACATTGAACACCTCACTACAGAACAGAACAGATGATGGTCAGACCAAAGCAGCCCCTGAAGTTTGAGCTTGTGTACATCATTAGGGCATCTTATTTGGAGTTCCAAATCCTCCCAACTGGCAGTAGAGTACTCGAACTTGTTTCATAAACACAACAAAACCCAGCAAAAAAGCGCAAAATAATGCTTAGCAGCAAAGCCGTTGGATAAATGGCATTTTAAATTGTTTGTAGCTCCACGGATAGAGAGGACTTCAGCTCACTGCTATCTGAAAGCTGTATAAATATTTATAAAGTACTCTACTGAGGTGTTCAAAACATCACACTGCTCCAATAGGCTACAATTTCGGACTGGAGTAAAGTGGACAGGATAAAAAATTAAAAAAAAAATGGAAAAAATAAACCAGACTACATCATTTATCCACTTATGCTGTTCTAAAATAGATATGAGTACTAGTTTCAATTTCTACTTCTGGGTGGAACATTTACCTTAGTAAAAATGAAACTACCTCACAAATTAAGTGTTTAGAATGTTCTTAATCCATCAGAGGTGAGACAGGGAGTTGGTCTGGTATAGTTTCCACGAGCCAAGGACTGGAAAGCCAGAACTTTTTTTTGTTCCTCATGCTAGATTTTGTCTGTCTCTTCTCAGACTAGTTAGAATGAAAAAAAAGTCTCCATTAGCAGGAAGTCTGCTTTTTTAACTTAAAATGTTTTAAAATTCCACACCTGCCTCCGCTATTCTGTACAACATCATTATAATGGGAATTGTGAAGGGAGAAATGTCCATTTATGGCTTGTATGCTTAGCCAGAAAAGGGAAACATAGTATTCTTGAGGAATAAAGGTAAAAGTGCTACTTCTACCAAGGAGTACAATTATATGTAGATACCCTTAAGTGAAAATAGAATGAGGAATTTGCCTGCTAGCCCAGTTAACATGTTCAAATGTTTATTTTATAGTTGAGAAAATATTTTTCCAAACAATAAAAGAATTCATATTCCTGATTACCCATTTTCCTATGCCATCTTTATTACCTGAATAACTTTCCTTTTGACCATTCTACTTCGGGCAAATAAAATGAATCATCTGAAAATCCATTGTAGATGATAACAAACTGCACTTGCTTTTACAGAAACTGTTTTGAATTCTACCTGAGTGTCCTGGAAGAAAAAGGACAAGGCGTGGTGTAGGGGAAAAAAATTTTTTTTCTGCATTGAGTGTATTTTCACAAAAAGAACTCCTTTTCATTTCTCTCTTGACTGGTGAGACTTTTTGAAGATGTAGGCTTTAGGCGACGTTATCCCTGTCTCCTGGAAATACACCCTCTCTGCCTCTCATCCACCCCTGTGGTGTCAAAGCTCCCAAGCATTTGAACCCCTTATGGAGCAGCCTCTACCTGCACTGAAGTCAAATTCTCTCACCTTCTTTTTCCACCCATTTGCAAGTACTTCTGGTTTGCCTCAAGACCTACCTCTTTTACATTTGTAGACAGATAAACCTAATTTTGCACTTTGGAATACTTTGTCCTAGATATTTTTCTACTAGAGAGAAATAGGCCTTTAAAGTTCAACTTCTATCACTCCTACCTATTCAGCAATATGTGAACATGAATACATATATATTTATATATATGTACATATATGTATGTTCATATATATATATATTCATATTCATAATCTAATAGTTGGTTCTCATCCCTAATAAAATTTGCTTTGGGGAGATTTTATTCTAAATAATTGATGGATTTGTTTTATAGAACATTTTCACCTGCTATTTTGCAGTATACGCATTAGCAACACAGTTCTAGAACCAACAACAAACACCTCATGGTCTTACCCTCTGTTGTTCCATTCTTTTCTGTCTTCATTCAAATCTCCAACTTGTTCTTTGAAAGAGTTACTTAAATCATTTTTCCAACTAAATGAAACATGTAGGCTTCTAATTCTTCTAGCCCTTCCAAGAACAGTAAACAGTGAAAAATACAAAATGCAAAGACTAGTAATAGGAGACGAGTAATAATAGATATTAGACTAGACAAATAACTTCATATCTGAAAATAAAAAATTGACTATATATATGTATGTGTATATAAATATACATAGGACCTAAAATAAAAACTGTCTTCCAAATATGGCTACTTAAAAACATTTTTTTTTTCAACGTTTTTTTTAATTTATTTTTTTGGGGACAGAGAGAGACAGAGCATGAACGGGGGAGGGGCAGAGAGAGAGGGAGACACAGAATCGGAAGCAGGCTCCAGGCTCTGAGCCGTCAGCCCAGAGCCTGACACGGGGCTCGAACTCATGGACCGCGAGATCGTGACCTGGCTGAAGTCGGACGCCTAACCGACTGCGCCACCCAGGCGCCCCTAAAAACATTTTTTTAATGTTTATTTATTGAGAGAGAGAGAGCATAAGCATGTGCATGAGTAGGGGAGGGGCAGAGAGAGGGGGACACCGAATCCGAAGCAGGCTTCAGGCTCTGAGCTGTTAGCATAGAGCGTGACACCGGGCTCGAACTCACGGATCCGAACCACAGACTGACATCGTGACCTGACCGAAGTTGGATGCTTAACTGAGCCACCAGGCACTGCCAAATATGGCTACTTTTAAATGGGCTTTTATACTTGTTGTTTACACATCATTAAACAAGAAAGGATGACTGAAATTGGGCTTTTTTCAGTTTTCAGAAGACATTTATCAAAACATTAAAAAATACGTAACACAAAACAGAAAATAGATAAATATTTTAATGTATTGTTACCTTCATTTCCATTAGAATACATTCATGGTACTTGAACCTTTACCATTTCTTTGCTATTTTTTTATTTACATATAACTATTCACCTCTTAGAGGTAAACAATGTTAAAAATGATTATTAATAATAATTTATACTTAATGATTTTCCCTGGGTATAGGATTATCTGAAACTGAATTCATAACTACATTTTGTTGATATTTTGTATTTTATTTTACTATCTGAACATGGAAACCTAGAACTCTGCGATGTAATCTTAGATTCTCTAAGAACATTTGGAGTAAAACTGAACCCCAAGTCATCATACTTAATAATAATCAAGTCACATAATTTTCTACTTTCTTATGAAGTTTAAATTTTATTATGTATCTAAATGTCCAATGTAAGTCAATTTTGTCTACAGTCCTGATACCAATCAACTTTCTTCAATTACTAAGAAAATCATTGTTCATCAGGAAAGTTTTATCTAAGAAAATGATCATATTTAAGTTAAATGATTTTAGTATCTAAAATTGTAATTAACAATATTTGGTAAATTAAATTTGTTCTTATCATCCCTTATTATAATATATTCTACCTATATTTTTAGTAGTAGTTTCTACTTCCTATTAGAGGGGAGAGTCTTGCAGTGGGCTATCCAGTATAGACCGTTAAAATTAAGTTACTTAACTGTAATTACAATTAATTGTATTAACAATAATAAGTTGTAATTGTGTAACTTTCATTGATTAATTAGTTGATTCACCTTTAATTGATTAAATTAGTTAAATTCATCTTTCAGGATTTCTTTTTCCTTATCTATAAAAGAATGTCACTGAACTACATATATTATCCTTAAGATCTCTTCCAGTTCTAACATAATAAACAAATTATGTAAGTTTATACATTTATAGACTTAATTTCAAAACAGTCTTAAAATATGACAGTTCTATGTTACAAAATTGTGAATTACTATTTTCCTCTGATTCAGTTCTAAAATACACTTATTTTATAAAGGCTTCTTAGAATACGCTGAAAGAGGGCTAAAATCAAAATGTTGCATTTGAGTTTAATATTAGTAATGATTACATAATTTTTTGCTAATGCAGATATATCCCTTATCACAAAATGACATAAAGCCAGTGTTTTTATTGAATACGTAAATCTATCTGGGAAATATTTAGCATCTGATTTTTGAGGTGAATTCCTTTCAAATACATGTAATTTCAGTGAAAAAGCAGAGAATTCTGATTTGTCTTAAGAACAACTTTGAGTATAACAGATAGATTAATTGATTTTAGGTTTCAGGGGGAAGTCGCATACACAGTGGTACGCTCTCACTTAAGGTCTCCTTCCATGAAGGCACAATATTCTGATCACTGCAGTTGTTAAGGTAGAAAATTCTTAACACTGATCAAAGCAGACTAGTGGCAACACTATAATAGCACCACTGCTAGAACAAAGGAGCCAGAACAAAAAATGGAATACAATGGGAAGTGAGCAAAAATCAGCTACTGACAACTGAAAGAATCTTTGTAGTAATGAAAAGACTGAAAATGAAGCTTAAAATTCATTAAAATTATTTTGTCTCATTTCTCAACAATAGAAATATAGTGACTGGTCTAATGCTTAAAAAAGGCACTGGAATTCAGGTTTGTTTCCATTTTTAGAACATATATCTTTACAACATGATTTTTTTTTATTAGAAATATGGTTTAGTGAGACAGAACTGTGAAGCACAATCAAAAAAATGTTTGGAGAAGGCTAACTCAGATTTAAAAAAATCTGAGGCAGTGTTATATTTTACAAAAATACAAATTCTATGGTTAAGATGGAAAGTACATGTTGAAAATATTTCTGAATCCTAGTATGGTATTTTGTGTTGTGACATTCTAAAAAGCACCAGATATTTCTATTCTCACTTGAGGAATAAGTGGTATTAGAAGTCAATTAATATTCAAAGTCTAGTTATTTGATTTAGAGATTGGGGTTCATTCCAATCCAGTGTTTGATTAATTGATGTGCAATAGCTCGGCTTGGTGGCACAAAGAATGCCTGCTGCTTCCCTTTGGTCAGAACATCCACAACCTAAAATATACCATAATAAAATGTATTAGGATTTCAACACTGTCACACTTAAATACTATTCTTATGCTTATACAATCCAATTAAACATGATGATTTTTACAGTGAATAACAACAGGAGAAAGTGACAACACCCAAGTTCAACATGCAAAATTTAGTACAGTAATTTTAGTAGATTCAATGAGTTAGTGATTCAATTTAACAAAATATTCCAGAAAGACATATTCTCTTATGAAAGTAACGTCACAAAAAAGAAAAGTATATGCTCCACATTTATTTTCAAAGTGAAGTCAACTTTTGGAATGGGTTCCCCTTTATAAAATTTTGAAAAAAAAATCTGATTTCTACTTTTTGAGGTTGAGCATAAAATAAAATTAATTTTGTTTAGGCAAAATCAGAAAAGATTTCAGGTCTTCACTACTAATAGTGTATCCATTTTTTTTCTACACAAATACTTTAGGTCATGCAAAACACAGATAAGTAGTTTATCTTGCCTTCTAGTACTGGAGGATAATGTTTTAAAAAGTTCTTGTGAGTGTATCTTTGTTATATAGTTTTTTTATTCTTGTCCTTAAGCATATTTTAAAATGAACAAGAACTTTTCAAAAATTTTAAGCATTTGTATTGATATTTTTTGAGAGCTACTTGTTTTAATGCTGTAAACTAAAATATAAAAAGGTTAAGAATAATATTCCTATTTTTCATCTTTGAAATAATGTTTACCTATTTTAAGTCCATTGAAAGGTATCATTAATCTGAAGGATTGGCATTTGAAATTAGAAAAAGGCACAGAATCATCAACTAGAAGACTCCCACAGAATGAGTTAACATAGGACACATCAATTACATTGTAATCCATGCATGATGAGTGGGCCATAGCATTCATTCAAGTTGTTGAAAACATATATCCTTGCTGCATGCCCAAACTGATACAGTCAGAGAACAATCAATAGAAGAAGGAAATTAAATTGAACTTTACCTGTTCTCTAGTGAACCAGCGGGCATCCTCTATTTCATTCTTGTCAACTTTAATTTCTGTAGACACTGCCACAGCTAAGCAACCAATCATTAAGGAGGAGGGCATTGGCCATGGCTGACAAGAGACATACTGAACATGGCCAACTTTGACTCCACTTTCCTCTTCTACTTCTCTCCGAACAGCATCTTCTATTGTCTCCCCTAATCAAATAGGGCAAAAGAACAAGTAGCTGATGAACATCTCCTAGACATTTTGTGCTCTGAATGGTTCAAACATTTGGAAATCACTTTGGACAGAAACCCAGTTCAAAGAATCAGAATGCAGAGCCTAAAACTAGACTGGAATTCAAGAAAACATGATTTCTTTTAGTATATGACCACATGAATAATCAAGATTCCATAACACCTTTCTAAAGGGTCCAAATTTTTAGTTACACTGTAACAATTGTAACATCTACAACTATCCAGCACTGATATTGGCTAAACATTAGGCAAGCATTTTATATATTCTCATTTATTTATTATCACTAAATAGTTACAAATTATTATTACAAGATTTTTATAAAAGGCTAAAATTTCTTATGTAAGGAATTTTTTTTCTTATGTTGTCAAAGAATCATTGCAGATAACTTTTCTCAAAAGAGTTGAAGACCACATAAAACTAAAATTCTAAAAACCACTGAAAATGAAAGTATTTTTTCTTTCTAAATGTTTTTGTTCTTCTAGAGGACTGTTGACTCAGCTATGTTAAATAATGCCTATAAATATACTTTATATTTCTGATTTTTTTGGAATTGAGAAGTAGAATAAAGGTTTCTAAGTTAAGTTTATATGAAAGTTTAAAAATATTTTGCTATTTAAATGTAGCTTTTTATTTGAAATAGATTTATATAAGGCTATGGGTGGTGCAGTTGGTTAAGTGTCAGACTTTGGCTCAGGCCATGATCTCATGGTTTGTGTGCTGGAGCCCCACATTGGGCTCTGTGCTGACAGCTCAGAGCCTGGAGCCTGCCTGAGATTCTGTGTCTCCCTGTCTCTTTGCCCCTGCCCTGCGTGTGCTCTGTCTCACTCTGTCTCTCAAAAATAAAAATCAAAAACATTAAAAAAATTGAAATAGACGAATATATATTTCCTATATTAAAATTAACAACTTATGTTCACCAAAAAATATAGTGGAAAGGTAAGTCATAGACTAGCATTAAGATATTTGCAAGACCATAGCTATAGATTAGCATATTGTAAAACTCGTAAAATAGAAAAAAAAGGTAAACAACCAAAACAAAATTAGACAAAGAATATAAACATGCAAAATTCAGAGAAAATGAAAATTGGATGGCTAAAACACATTTGAAAAAGATGCTCCATCAGCACAGTAATGAAAACTACAGTGACATTATTTCATACCCATCAGAATGGCAAATTATAAAGTATGAAAATCCTAACTTAGTGAAGATGTGGAATAACAGAACATTTCATATGCTGTTAGAAAGAGTGTAAATTGGTAGGGACACTTCAGAAAACAACTTGGCAACATCTACAAAAGGTTAGGATTCTCATATACTATGAGTTAGCAATTCTATTCTCAAGTTTAAACCCTTCATGACTCTTGCAAATGTGCACAAGTAGTAACATAAGAATATTCTTGGGGGTGTTTACAATAGCAGAAACTCTGATATAAACTAAACATCCAACAGCAGAATGGGTAAGTTGAATAATATTTAAAATGGTACACAGCAGTTAAAAAAACAGTCTAGAGTTATTAGAGACAGCAGAGTGATTAACAGCATGGACTCAGCCAAAATGTCCAGGTTTGTATCTCTGCCCTACCTACTCACTAGCTATTTGATCTTGGGCAAGTTATCCAGCTCCTGTACCTTAGTGCCCCATCTGTAAAACTGCTATAATAGTACCTATTTTATAAAGCTGTATAAGGATCATATGATTCAATATATGGAAAGCCTTCGAAACAGAGTGGCACAATGTATGTTTACTATTATTACTAGTGCAGATTAATACTGGAAGCTAAGATTAAACATGTATATTAATTATCATTTACTCCACAAATTATTTATTGAACTCTTAGTATATATAAGGCACTGTTCTAAGGGTTTGGGCTACAACTATGAATGAAGTAAGGTCCTAGCCCTTATGGAACTTACTTTCTGGTGTGAGTAGATAATAAATAAGTAGATAGATAAACAGCTGCAAACATACATAAGATAATACATACATACATACCATGTCAGGTGGTGATGAGTGCTGTAGGGAAAAGTCAGGCAGGATGACAGAATTGTGAATGTAGGGTACGAGGCTAACTAATGTATTTGGGGCTACCTGAGAAGGCCTCTTTGAAAAGGTGACACAGTTGAGTCCAGTGAGGTGTAAGTGATACAGATACCTTGTGTAACAGCAGTATATTAAAGAAGAAATGTTGAATTATCAAAACCAAATTATTCTAGTAAAAACAAAATTATACCACTTAAAATACACAGAAAAATAATTTAAAAAGATCCCAATTTCATAGCATGAGAATTTGTCAAATGCTATCTAGAATTGTTATTTGTGAATTATAAGTTAAAGGAAAATTAAAGTTATGAAGAAAAAGGCTTACCAGGTTCAATAAATCCAGCAAGGCAAGTAAACATGCCTGGGGGAAATCTTTTCTGCCTGCCTAAAAGGCATTTGGTCCCATCTGGATGAATAACTTGCATGATTACCACGGGATCTGTTTTTTTAAAAATAAGATGAATGATAGAAAAAAATAATTTAGACTCATTGTGTAAAATCACTGTTGAATACTATAATAAGTTGTATCTCCTAGAACAAGACTCTTGTCTAGTTATGTGATTGTTTCTTTCTGCCTGATGACAAAGTATTTCAGGGAAATTGCACAGAATATTATAAACTAAAGGAAGACCATTTCTGTCTTCTAAATAGCAACAATTATTATATACGTATGGTATGCTAGGCATATTGTTATTTTTCAATTATAAAAAAGTTACAGAAGATATTACATGGCATAAAGAAAATACAAATTTTACTATGTAAATGTGAATTTCCCTCTCCCTTCCATCCTAATCCTGAACAAAATGTTTTTAAAAGCTAATGTGGCTTGGGGCGCCTGGGTGGCGCAGTCAGTTAAGCGTCCGACTTCAGCCAGGTCACGATCTCGCGGTCCCTGAGTTCGAGCCCCGTGTCAGGCTCTGGGCTGATGGCTCAGAGCCTGGAGCCTGTTTCCAATTCTGTGTCTCCCTCTCTCTCTGCCCCTCCCCCGTTCATGCTCTGTCTCTCTCTGTCCCCAAAATAAATAAACATTGAAAAAAAAAATTTAAAAGCTAATGTGGCTCTATGATTAAATTTTAAGCCATTAAAAAAATAAAATTTAAATTAAGTAACAGTTTATTTCCCAGAAGTCACTAATCCACTAGGTCATGACTGAGAACAGGAATCAAATGTAAAATGCTCCTGAGCAGTGAAAACAGGGTTTACCAAGTCATGCACTTTACTACCAGGAGACCTGCTCAGATATTTCTCAGACTATCTATTTTTTTTTTCACAAGTTTTAAAGGACTAGGTTCTCAGATTTCCAAACCTACAGGAGACTCCAAAGCAGCAATTAGAAGGAGGAGAGCAGGAGGCAGACACCAGCAGTGATGAAAAGCTAGTTTTACTGCTTTGGTGATGCCTCAAACAGGCACTGAAATGTTGGGGCTTTTTTTGTTTGTTTGTTTCTGCACTACATGGATCCAGATTGGTGGACTTTTGAAATCACCTATTTTAATACATCAAATTCGTATTGATTAGTCATTTCTTAACTATGAGTTAATTATATACAATGTCCCTTACTTAAAAGTCATGAAAGTATACATACTTGTAGTCTTAAGAGTTAAACATACTTTTAATAAAAAGGTAAACCCCTGAACAACTCAAAATCTTGTCTTCAGAGAACGTCTTATTCCCTAAGATTCCAGATGGCTGAGATTTCACTGTAGATGAAAAGGCTTACCAACTCTTGGATAGGATGTATTGTGAACACCGTGGAGGCTAGGACAGCCTTCTTTTAAGCATACTCTTTTGTAGCCACCTTCTTCGATTTTAGTTGTACTTCCACACGTTGGGCAGAACTTATATCGACTGTGCCAGGCAAGAACAGATCTTGCTTGAGCTACAACCCCTTTAAGAGAAGCATAAAAAATTTTAATTCTGTGATAAACCATAAACAATATCAAAGTAAAATGTTAAGTCAGTAAAGGCATACTCTATATTTTCTGAGTAGCTCTGTGATCAAGGATGTTAGTATTCCTATTTTTATGATGTGTATATTTCTTTTAAAGTAAAAGATTTAATCCAACAGATGACAAATGAAAATTAGATTTAACTTTAATATGAACTAATAAATACAATTCTCATATAACACAGATGTACTAACATCTATCTTATATATTATATTACCTCAGGCTTTTACTATAGATGATTTTTAAATTTTGGATATACAAAATTCTAGTGTATAGTGATTTTATAAAAATTGACTTTATAATAGTGACTTTTACAAAAATACATTACAAAGCCAGTTCCTAATTTAGACTTGGACTATATAAAAAAAAAATATTAGTAGGAAACTGTAGGAACTTCTCTTTTCCTGGGTGATTAAACTACTGCTCCTTGTCACTGTGAAACATATCCTGTTTACAACTGGAAACTTAATGGAATGTTAAAAAAATACTGTATTTATAACATTCATGGTTAACTTTGTTCATGAAAAAAAATGCCTACAAGAAAAAAATCTTAGTATATATATACTTTGGCTAGATACCCTGGTATTTCAAAAAAGAATATGGCCTGACCAGAAATATTACAACTGAAGCAATAAAACTGGAAATGCTACATTTACATTTGCCTGACAAACTTGCTCTCCCTAAAATACATTATTTGGTCTAAGGATTTTTGAAATAAGCAAAATAACCATAAATAACAATATTTTAAACTGGGAAACAAAAACTAATAAACCATACATAAAAATAAATGTAATACTGAAATTCAATGAACCACAGGCAACATTAAATATTTGTCTACTACATTACCTTGTAGTATGTAATTTATGCTAAATATCTACATTATTTCAATATTGTTTCAATAAGACAAGCTAAAATTTATTGAGTACATACTATATGCCAAGCATCATGCAAAGATGTTTGTATACATGATTTTATGTATGTATGTATGTATGTATGTATGTATGTATGTATGTATGTATTTATGAATGAATGAATGAATGAATGAATGAAGAAAACAGGTATATTTTTATTGGACTGCCTGAAACAGAGGATAGTGTGGTATGGATGGATAGTATGAATGACAAATAATACAAATATATTTTATGTGAAATAAAAAGCAGCTCAATGGGTTACATCATCTTATTTAATGGTTAGAGCAATGATATAGGTACTATTATTATCTTTTCCTGAAGGAGGAAAATGAAGCACGAAGAGGTTACATTAACTATGTAAGTTTATACACTAAATGAATGAAAGGTCCTCAGTTTCCTAACTATTAAAAAAAGAGAGAGAGAGAGAGAGAGATCGTTCTGATATTAAACTTATATTGCTACAAAGAAATTTTCTTTAAAAAGTGCAGGGTTGGGTAGGTCAGTCGGTTAGGTGTCTGCCTCTTGGTTTCAGCTCAGGTCATATCTCATGGTTGGTGAGTTCAAGCCCTGCACTGGGTTCTGTGTTTACAGGACACAGCACAGCTGGGGATTCTCTCTCTCTACCCTTCTCTCTGCCCATCCCCCCCCGCCAAATAAATAAACTTAAAAAAAAGTGCAACTTTGGGGCTCCTGGGTGACTCAGTCGGTTAGGTGTCTAACCCTTGATTTCAGATCAGGTCATGATCTCACGGTTGTGAGATCAAGCCCTGCATTGGTCTTCATGCTGGGCTTGGAGCCTGCTTAAGTTTCTCCCTCCTACTCTGCTTCCCCTGAGTGTGCGCATGTGCTATTATAAAAAATTATGTGTTCTCCACAGATGTGAAGAATAAAACATATCAATCCAGACATTGGGAGGAGGCATCTAAGCAGCCTCTGGAAGGGCCTACCACACATTTAAGGGAAGGTGGACACTGAGAGTGACCTCTTCGTTACCTCCCATTAACTTTTCAATCAACCATAATTTAGCTTATATTCCTTCCACTCCACTGATATTCCACTTGTTAAATTCATCAACAGCTTCATATTCTAAAACCAAAGATCCTTTAAAAAAATCTTTTTCTATCTTACTCAAATTCTCAACAGCATTTGGTATATTTGACCACTCCCTTGAAATACTTTGCCATCTTGGTTTCCATGAGCATTCTCCTGTTTTCCTCTTAGGTTGTAGCCACACTGTCAACAATACCTTTGATGGCTCCTCTGTTTCTACCTGACTTCAAAATTTAGGGGGATTTACATGTGATTCTAAGGCTTTTTCTTGCTTGCTCTCAATTCTCTAAGTAATCTCAGTAGTTCCCTGAGATTTAAATATCACCTTCATGTTGATGACTCCCATATGGGTATTTCTAGTTTAGACCTCTCCTCTGTGTTCCAGTTTCTAATATCCTTCTCTAAGACTAAATATGCCCAAAACTAAAATCTTATTTCTTTCAAGTCTGTCTTGCTTCCTTTGCTCAACTTGTCACCCTATGCTATTTTATCAAGAAATATCACTACCTACCAAATTACTAAAGTCTCAAACCTAGCAATTATTCATGATCTTTTTTCTTCATCGTTATATATCCCAAACCCAATCCATCAACAAGTGCTGATGATTGTCTCTCTAAAATATATCTTGAACATGCCCCCTTTTCTCCACCTCTGTCACCTTCATTCAGGCTGTATAGTCCAGGTTACTATCCCCTCTCACAGTAGTCTCAACCTACTGATCAAGCCCTATCAATTTTACCTCCAGAACATCTCAAACTCTTTCTCTCCATCAACCCAATCCACTGTAATCTCTTAGCTAGGCTACTGTAACCTTCAATCCCCTCTAATAAGACTTCTGACTTCACAATTAATTACCTACAACTCATGATCTACAAAGCAGGCAGAGTGAGGGGTTTTGTTTTTTGTTTCTTTTTAAAACATAGGTCAGATTACAACATTTAAATGAACTTTAGAATAAAACTCCTAATTTCTTACCATGGCATATAAGATCCCACCTGAACTAGCACACCCAGCAACAGCAAACAAAATAGTCAAGGTCTTTGCCATCAGGCTCAGTGTATAGCAGGTGCTTAATATTATTCAGTGAAGAATCAAATAAAACCAGCATGCGGTAGGATTAATTCTAGGGAAACTAATCTTGGCTGATTAGAACTGCTGTAACTGCTCAGGAGAGTAGTCCCCTAGAGTGAGAACTTCAGGAAATTTCTAATGAAGATAGCCTAACTGCATAGCTTGATGAAAAAAGTGTGCCTCCTAGAAAATGCAGATACATATAATTCCAACCCAGTTCCCAAAACCAGATTATTAGCAATACAAGTAAACCGTATTCACTTCTTACCAGCTTCTTTTTCTTTCAACTGCAGAAGAGCTGGCATTGGAGGATGAAGAAAATAACAATTTTCATGCCTTTGCTTAAATTCTTCAGCAGCAACAGGATCTATACCTAGAGCAAACCAGGCAACCAACCCATCTTCTTCTCTTGGGACTTCTGAAGCATAATTAAAGGACTCTTTCTTCACTTCAAGTTCTACTCCGAGGAAAATCAAGGTGATCTTTTCAGGCTGAGCCAAATAATCTTTTATATCTGTGTAGCTCAGCTGACAAAGCCTGACTTCCGGCTGTTGGAAACTTTCTTTATTGCCACCTAGAGTAACCAAGGGATTTAAATCTGAGAAAAGGATATAAACTGTGGCTGGATGGCTTTCTTTAGCTAGTAGCCAATCAGAATTATTTCTTTTTTCACTTTTTCGGTCTAATAGTGTTCTGCTAAAATAATTTTCACATTCTTCCACTTCCTTAGTTAGGAACCAAGGCTTCATCCCACCTTTAGCATTAGCTAGTAAGTTAGCTATATGCTTATAACCCCAAAATTTAGCAATGTCCAGTGCAGTCTGCCTTGATTTATTGACAATGGATCTGTCACACCTACAAATGGAAAGAAAAATAAAATAGGAAATAAAAATTTTCTTTAATATTTATTAAAGTAAAATATTTCCAGATGCACATAATAGCCCTCTAATCATTATTACATAAGTTGTTTTTTTTTTTTTTTTTGTACATGATGTACTAATGGGAAGGTTAAAAGACATAATCACAAATGATGCAAAGTTAGAGATAGCAAGATATTTAAAATTTTTGGAGAACTGTAAAATAAAAAACAGTAGGTTTTCTGTGCTATAGGAAGAAATTACAATTTTACAAGGGGTTCTTGATAGCCATAGTGGGTAGATCCACATTTTCTACCTGGGAGAAAAAGATTAGACTAACTCATAAATTTGCTTTGTTATTAAGTATGAAGGGTTCCTCTCTCAACAGAAGAAGTTAAAAGTTTTTAGTTAGGTATTTTTCTATGTTTTTATATAATAAAACTGGTCAACAAGTTATTTAGAAGTCTATTGGTATAAATATGGCTACATGAAAAATTTAAAAGGAAATATGTAACCCAGAAACGAAACCACAGAGCCCTTCAAGTAGTAGTGCCTAAAATGTTTACCCTTTGTCAAGTAGAAATTGGACAATATCTGGGTGCCCATTCCTTGCAGCATACATTAAAGCAGTCCAGCCATTTTCAGAAGTTTCGTTGAGAAGAGATGGAGAATGACTGAGGATTACTGTTAACCTGGCAATATCTCCTTCTGCAGCTGAACAGTGAAACTGGGAAATTATTTCTTGCTTTGGGCTTCTTTTTATAGAAGACATTTCTTCCTTAAAAAAAAGGAAAATAGAAAAAAACCTTTCATTTTCATTTGCTTTTGGTTCAATGCTAGAACATTATGTGAATGCTGATATAATTAGAATAGGCATGGTTTCTAAAGCTATATACTCTTCAAAAGGTCATTTATAGCCAACTGTCATCATAGTATACATTTCAAAATTGTTATCAGTTGAGAATTTTAAATATAGTTCACCATGGGGGGTGTATAACACAATGTATAAAGATCTTTGGCAATAAAAGAGAATGGGGGGGGCATATCCTTGAGAGGGGGTGTCAAGGTACCTGAGGCAGATCAGAGAGATTTCAATATAGATCAAGGGAATGAGAGGGGTTAAAGCAGACAGAAGTCAAGTCAGAGGGTTTTTAGCAGATGATAACTAGTATTCTCTTAGAGGCAGTGTTGTCAGAAATAGGTGCCTGCCTTTAGGAAAATTATGATCCTACAGCTAATTTATTCGAAACCTGTGTTACATTTCACTTGAAAACACTTTTTTGCATTCCCTTGTACAATTAATTCTATAATCCACGTGGGACTATTTTTGTTCATGGTGTAAAGTAGCAGCAAGATTCATTTTTATCCAATGGATAATCCATTTGACTTGGCACCATTCTTGAAATTACCATCTTTGTCCCACTGTGCTGCAGTTGTCATCCTTGTCATAAATCAAATGACCATGTATTTTGGATCTCTCATTGAACACTGTGCTGGTGGTCACTTTGTCAAAACTTGAATGACAGAAACTTTAAACCATTAACTTTGTCTGCTTTGTTACTCCATTTTTTTCAGTAAGAACAAAATATATAGAAAATGTTTCCTACCTCTTTATAAAAATTGACTTATTGTGGATTGAATGTGGTAGGGCACAGACTGAGCAATGCTTTGTGGAAACAGTTCATGCTTAAGTTCTCTACGAGTTATGTTCTGAGAACAAAGTACTTTTTAAGGTATGAATTTTTGTTTAGTGAAATGCTACTAAGAATTGACTTGTGATTCTGACTAGACTTCTATCATTTTAAGCAATAAGATATTTAGCCTAAAAAGGAAAGGTTATAATCCACACATTTTGACTTCTTTTGTGTCTAGTGTTCTCACAATGCAATTTGGCTGATCAATTTTATAGGAGTATGAACAAAATTTAGGGGAAACATGGGCCAAAAAGATTAACTGTTCACCTTTCCTGTTTGTATTTTTCTGCTACTTATAAAAAAGGTCAAATCTGACTACTCACAAAAGGGGAGGGGTGTGTGTGTGTGTGTGTAAACAGGTGATGGGGATTAAAGAGCACTCTTATGACGAACACTTAATAGTGTACAGAATTGCTGAATCACAATATTGTACGCTTGAAACTAACATAACACAGTATGTTAACTATACTGGAATTAAAACAAAAAGCTTAAGAAAAAACTCACAGGAATGGTGAAAATATGTTTACAACTTAAATTAGAAGGAGTGATTTCTATATTAGAAAACAACTTTTTATTTCTTTTGATTTACTATAGAATTTATCTCACTGTTCTCTTCATATTGAGATTTCTAAATGCTTTACGAATATTATCAATAACAAAAACTACAACTTTCCAGGACTTTATTTTGAATTATTGCCGTATACTGACTCATGTATGGTCTCCCTTCCAAGTTGCCTTTCCCGTAAATCGATTTTCCACAAAATATCACAAAGATTCTTCAGTTAGGTTTTCTTTAAGCAATATTTTACTGTCTTACGTTCTGAGGTCATTCATTTCTTCACCTTCCCAAGAGGCCACTCCACAGGACAGAGTGCAAAACTGCCCTCCAAAAATATAGTACTATTCACTATCCCCAGTACAGTTCTTAAGGATTCAATATTCTCAGGAGAAAGGAAGCTTTTTTTTTTTTTTTTTGGCAGAAAAGCCATCTAGAAACAGAACCGATTCTCATTCCAGAAAATTACACAAAATCTGAAATCCAGCTCGGCTGCTGGATTTATTTTTTCGTTTTTCATTGACGGGTTTCCCACAAGGTAAAGATTTGAAGGTAGGATAAGGTGATTCACTTAGCTTAATGCCGCCCTTGCTTTCCAAAAAGAACAGACTATTCTGAGAGGTCGTTTAAAGAAGGTTAAAAGGGCCTTAGATTTTAACGAAACCACATCCATTTTTACCGATGTGTACCGGGGCCCGTGCCTCGCTCAATGTCACATGGTTCAAGAAACAGGGCAGAGTTCAAGTACGGCTCTGTCAGTGAAGTCACTGCCCATTATTTAACGATTTCCACGTCCCTGGGCATTCGAGGTGGCCATTTAACCAGTCAAGCAACACGTACGCACTTTCTCTCCAAACGCTTAAATGCCTTGAGATAGTTTCTTTTCTTATTACTGTGAGATTCCTTCTTTTAACGTGAATCTACAGTTGAAGCAGCATTTTGTTTTCCCCACCTCAAAGACTTGACTGGAAAACCAGCAGCAGCCGAGAGGCTGCGCCCCCGGCCCCCATCGGGAAGCTCCCGCGCCAGCTCCCGCGCCAGCACCCGCACCGCACCCCGAAACTGCGCCAAACAACCCAGCATGGCCAGGCCGACAGCGCTGAGATCAAAAAGCACTGGGAACTGGCCACCCAACCCAGAGCGGGCACCGGGGACGACTAACTTGCCGTTGCTGTTACTAACCAAAGGTAACCAGAATAGAGGAAAGCAGGATACTGCCGCAAGACCGGGAAAACCCCACGCTCACTCTTCCCGGTGTCGGAAAGAGCCTTCCTGACTTCCGGCGGAGGTTCCCTGTCCTCGCACGGTTTTATGGGAAATGTAGTTTGAGGATCACAAATTGTGCGTGATCCGTGAAGGGGAGGGGCTTGGGGGTGAACGCGTTCGGGAGCCTGGGCGGGAGGTCACTGCTGTTAAGGTCCAGCTTCTTGGTGGTGAGTCAGGGGCTGGTTTTCCTTTTCCGTCATACCGAGACATGTGAAGTGTGGTGCGGACGATGGAAAACCGTAGGTGTGTGGAAACGGTTTTAAGTTTTTCAGTATTTCACACCAGTCACCTAACCTCTCCTGTATGCTTCAATGCAGTGGCGTGTTCAAAGTCGACTTGCGCGTTGAATAAACCTGGCATATTGGCGGGACCAACTTACTCCAGTATATGACCTTAAATAAGTTCTGGGCCTCTGAAACTCAACTCCTCATGTGCAAAATGGTACTATGTATTGATTCTTCATTCATTTAATCGTCCTTTGAAGGGTGTATATCAAGCTCCCATAACACCTCTTTGGGTTATGAGGTTAAAAGAGGATAATGCATTCAAAGCTCTTAGGAAGTTGAGGGTTTAGCTAGTACTCACAACACCATTATTTGTGCTGTTAATTATTTCATTTCCTAAAGCCTAAAGAAGTTGCGTGAGTTCGAGATTACAAAGCTAGGTTTTGGTAGTCTCCTGGACCAGAGTTTTTTTCTTTACTGAAATGCATCCTTGGCATTCAGCATATTAAGGAGTCTGTTATGTTAAGGTTGACCACTGCTTCCTGCCTGAATTTGAGATATTGGAAGCTTTCTCTCATGACAGTGAAGTTATGTATACCGGTCGACATTTGCTTTCATTACTGCTGTTTTTATTCTTTTTCTTTTTTTTGCTTTTGTATTTTTTTTTTCCAAAGTGAATGAATGAATGAATGAATGAATGAATGAATTTAGTAACCTCTACACCCATTGTGGAGCTTGAAATCAGTATGCCAAGATCGAGAATTGTGTGCTCTTCTGACTGAGCCATCAGGCACCGCATCTTTACTGCTTTTTAAACCTGTGTACTGTGCTTTTTTCTGTGAGTAGTTGTCTTTAGTCTTTAATGATTTCCAGGATCACATAGGACCTCAGAAATACTAAGTTTTAGTTAACTCACTTGGAATACCCAATCTTGTATTCAAACTTATATTACATAGATTAGTATAAGGAGCACTCATATATTAATCATATAGTGTAAACAATTATAAATATATAGTCATTCCAGTCTTTAGTATTCTTGTGAAGTAAACACCAGACACTATATTATTTTATTAATAAATATTTAAGGGTAAGCTTTTTGGAATTATGAATATATATTTAAGATGTAAAATGGCTCCTAAAAAGAATATAACTATGTCATTAGTACAACTAAAATTTTAACAGTAATTCCATAATATAGAAGAGATGTTCAGTATCAAATGTTATTGTCTCAAATTTTCTTTAATATATTTTATGGTTGATTTGCTCAAATCAGGACTTTAAAAAGTCTCCACGTTACATTTGATGTTTTTTGATCTATAGATTCTCCTGTAGTTTTTCTTGCAGTTTACTTGAGAATAATGATTATCTGCTCTGTAGAGTTTCCCATATTCTGAATTTTGTAAATTGTATTCTCACATTATCTTATTGCCTATATTTCTTGTAAACCGGCAGTTAAATCTACAGGATTTTTCAGATTAAAAAAAAATTTTTTTCAATGAGGAGACTTTATAGGTGTTATTTATTACCTATTATTTTACATTAAGTGGCATACACTGATTGTCTATTTCATGTTACAGTTGGTTATTGGGTTTAGATATTGTTAGGCTGATAAAGTTTATGATAAACATAAATTATCCCATCAACTTGCCAGCTAATAGTTTTAGTAGCCATCAATTATTATTGCTTACTTCCATTATTTCATTACAAGTCGCAAAATGATGATATTCTTATTTGATCATGCTACATTTATTAACAGAAATTCTCTTTTATAGTGAAGAACTTTACCTCATTTAGTACAGTTTACACAGAAAAAAATGGCATAAATGTGAAATTTTCTCATTTATTTCCTAGTTTTTAGAATAATGAGTTAGTTCCCTAATATCCTTCAAGTTTGTTTTTTAATTTTTTTAATGTTTATTTATTCTTGAAAGAGAGAGACAAAGAGAGAGAGAGACAGAATCCGAAGCAGGCTCCAGGCTCTGAGTTGTCAACACAGAGTCAGATGTGAGGCTCAAACTCATGAACCACAAGA